GTAAATCAAGGCAACAAAGAAGTTCTTCCCTTAAGTCTTCATCTTCACTGTACCTCACGAAGCAAAGTAGGACAGCATGGTTACTCACGTCAGTTGATTCATCAAGTTGGATCGCGAAACATCTCGATTTCTTTATCCCCTCTACAACTTGCTTTTCAATATCGATGGCCATGTCAACAATTCTCCTCTGAATAGTGGTGTCCGAAAGTGGTATAGCCTCTAGTTTCTTAGTGGCTTGAGGACCCAAAATTTCTTGTACGACATCTAAGATGCAAGGCTGTGGCTTATCAGTGAAATCTCTATAGTACTTCGAATGCAAATGACGAGCCAGTTTGGACGGTTTCATGGCGTCATTTGAAAGAACTTCGGAACATATTACACACAAAGGCCGTGGCGATAGTTCACTGCCAGGGGCTACAATAAAACCAAGCTTAAAATATTCCTTATCGTAATGCCTAACAAAGTTTCCTTTTCTCTTTTTGGTTTGTATTGCACATTCCGAAGTATCAGGATATTTCTTTTTCTTTGTTTCTTCTAAACTTGAAGCACTAGTACTTGGCATACTTTCGGCACTATCACTAATTGTCTTCTGAATATTGTCCTTGCCTCTGCTGTTTATCCATCTTGTAGGGTTTCAAATTTTACGAAAGAAATAATTTGTTTTCCGAAATTCCACAACACAATATTAAAAAAACAATACGTGTCGTCGACAGGCGAGCTGACGCAATACTGGCATTCGGCGGCCGCGCACTTCGTCTATACTCGTCGCGTGCAGCGCCCCGCTCGCCGCTCGCCTCGCAACAGTGGGAATTCCCCGAATCGTGTAGCGGTATAGTCGGGTGAAAGCTTTCGCGGACCGGCAATAAATTCTTACGGACCGGCGCCGGTCCGCGGACCACCGGTTGAAGACCACTGATCTAGGCAACAGGAAGTAGCTTAAGATTTTGAAATAACATTAGTGCTGTCAAAAGAAGGATTTTTGAGCTGGGTATAAGAAATATGGACAGTTTTAGTTGCCGGGATCTTAGAAAGAATGTGATGGCGTGGAATGAATTCAGCTTTATCAGAGTGAGATCCAGTGTTGGGCTGTTATGAACGTCCGGATTCAAAAAAAGTCGGGTAATTTGTAGACCAACTGCATGACTTTCATCTGAAGAAGACTTTCCTTCATGGTGATGATTACTCGAATAAGCTTGGAAGATGAAATTTTTCTCAGAACAGGAAAAGAGCATAGCGTCTGATAATTTTAAAATAATCCTCATATTGTGAGGATGTGAATAGGTTAAGGGAGAGATAACTAGACCATTTGAGCAATAATGCAATTCTTATAATTTATAAAGAAAATCATTAATTTTATTATTGCAAATTGAAACTTTACATATAATTGTATATACTTACGCAAAGTGGTAGTATAAATAGAGAGGACAGTTATCACTATTGGTGCTAAGTCTGTCGTTCTCATTGCTCGACACGTGGATAATTCTATGATGCTCCACACGATGACTGAAAACTGCACAAAAGGTAGTGCTAGGTGCCAAGCCAGCCATGGGGCTACTAGCAACTCCCGCTTCTGTGAAGCAAGACACACGAATCATAAGACACCTACTCTTTCAGGTGTTTTAATTGTTAGCTTTATATCTGAAACTGTAAATAAAAGTTATACGTTCTCACTTTATTTGTCATAATAATTCAATTATTTGTAATGTAGCAGGCCACAATAACTGGACGAAATGTTAATATGTATGTCTATTTCCAGAGCTCAGCTTTTGATTTTGAGCTAATTCTGTTTTTCTCACCTTATGAATCCCTAAAATTCATCTTAATTTCATCGTCCCATGTCGTTCTGTGTGTTCCAAGTACACATCTTGAAATAGAATTCAATTTCAAAATTATGTTTCCATTCCTAGGCATCCCATCCTAGAAAAATATCTTTAACCTAATAGATTTCACTATTTTCAGTGATCTGTATGGATTACTAAGTTCGCCGTTATGTAATATCTTATACTAATGAATTTCTCGTAAAGAATGGAATAAAGCAGTGGACACCCATAGTCATAAATATTATCCCATAAGGCCCAAAATCCCTTAACTGCAAATAATCACCAACAAACAAAGCTACCAAGCAACACTTCTTTATTAATAGGTAGATTTTTCAGTTATTTCGTCCTTCATAAATCCATATTTCGTCTAGTGCACATCCTTTCCTCAAAGCACTTAAAATTGTGTTCAGTTGTGACATTCATTGCTACAAAAGCTTATTCATCATATGTCAGCATTTTTTTACTACCTATCTCGCTCGTGTGCTTTGACTGCTGAAAGCGTTTCAGCCTATTCTGATAAATTTTGCTACTTTCATAAAAGTGAAGACTCAATTTATGAAATTCTCAGTTGTCTGCCTGTTGGACAAAATTTTTTCTACCCACAGGAAAAGACCCTTATGTCCTTGTAGAGTTTATTTCTTAATACTTTTAAGTACCTTAATCTATTGTACAGGTTGTAGGCGAAACGATAATATCTGTTACAGAATTTCTACTCCAAAAATAGTTTTGTCTTAAACTTCAGAAGCCACTATATTTTAACAGAGTGATATCATTGGAAATCTTAAGGTTTTCTTTCCACAATTCAGGGATTAAACAGAGCGTTTTCTTTAGATTATAATTCTTTTGAAATTTCTCCAGACCTGATAGAGTATAAAAGTATATTTTAGTGCTGGCTTTTTACATTTTTCCGAACATGTAATATTTTCTTTAATTCTTTAAGTGTACGTTAAATAACCCCACTTACATTTAAATTTTTATAGATGTTTGAAGTTAACCATTACTGTTAGATGCTCACTATACTAAAATAACTTATGGTAACTGTGACAAGTGGTCAGACCGTCTGAGGTGCATACCGTCGTGGACCACACCAACACTGGAAGCGCAGGTTCGATTCCCGCTAAGGGTATAAGTGCTTGTGCCTGTTTTTCTCTGTCGCGTTCTCCTTTGTAGCTACTGAGAAGTGGTGGTTTTACGTACATGGTCTTCAACAAAATGTCTAAATAATTTACTCTTTCCTAATCAGAACAGATGCCCTAATACGTAAAAACTGATGAAGTGCAAAGTAAATTTCACACAAAAACTGCTAAATTATGTATACAGATGTCTAAAAGAGCAGTACGCATACAACCATTACATACGTCAGCCTTGTGTATACATATTTTTGAGACCCTGTATTTTTTTCTGTGAGGCCTGGTGATTGCAATTTTCAACAAGTTAATTATTTTCACTTAAGTTATTTCACTGCACCCCAAAAATTAATTTTTACATACCGTCAGGGCGCCGTACACCATAATCAGATTGATGAACACAGACACTAAACTGCAGAATTTCCATATTCGTAGGAATGGTATCTCGGCTGCAACAAACATTTATAATTAGTAATCATGTAGTGTTTCCAGGTTTGGAAGCTTTTGCTGGACCATATTGTCCCCTCGTGTTGGTGCAGAATTAAATGTGGAGAGAGATAAGCGAAATAAACTTTCACGTCTCGTCGCAGAATGCGGGATAAAAGTATCATAAAAATAGCTTACATTTTCTTTCAGAACCGTGGAAAATATTTGGGAACAATAATAACAAATCAAAATTGTATTAATGAAGAAATTTAAAGAGATTAACATCAGGGAATATTTCCTACCATTAATTTCAGAAAATTTTGTCCTTCTGTTGCGTATCTAGAAACTTAAATATTAGGACAGACCTAAACAAAACAATAATGTTACCTGTTTTGTATAGGTGTGAAATTTTGACTTTCTAGTTCCGTAAAAGACGGAATTTCTTGATCAGCTAAGTGATTCTTACCTACTTAAGAGCCAGTGTACTACATTGATTACAAAAATGTTACATAATTTTATCACTTCTGTGTACAAACGGTAATGAATATCACCCACAGTTAGTATGTTCTATTTTAGGGTTCTGAATGATTAGTAAAAGTGTGTTTTAATAACACTCGTACTATAGTAAAGAGTATTTAATATAACCAAATTATAAAATTCTCTAGTTATAGTCAACACTACAATATGTTCTGTTCCGTTTTTATATTATTGTGTTCGTTAATAAATAATTACTCATTGAAAATTTCATGCTTTCAGATCACCAAAGTACCATATGGAACTTAAGAACCACACACTGAATCATGTCAATGCTGTTACCACATCAAGTTCGTACGTTTTAGAATACAATTCTACCAAGAATTGCATGGTAAGTGTATATAATGCTTACCGTAAATTCTTAATACTATACGTCATTACGTCGATCTATAAATAATCGATACATGTAAAACCATCTGATACAGCATTTTATAAAATTCGGTTTAACTGTCATTAAATTTAAACACATATTTCGACAATTTCTATTTGCCGACTGTACAATCGACTTTTCAAAAATGTCCTCCACCATAGAGTGAGTGAGTAACTGCAAAATGTGTACGGAAGACAGCCATCTTCAAACTCCCCGCCGTGAAAACCTCTAATCCTCCTTTAAATAGTATACTCCCTGTGCAGTTTTTACTTACCACAGGGTCCTACTGGAGAGATGTAGGAGGTGTAATAGTTGTTGCTTGTCGATCCGAAGTAAATAATTGTGTCATCTAAGGTTGCTCCAAATAACGCTGTCAGCTGTGAAGAAGCCCAGAGTTTAACGTAAATTGATATACAGGGTGATTACAAAAGGTTAGGGCCAAACTGAAGGAGCGTATAGAAGGACTCAGAGAGAACAACTTTCGAATAGGAATCCATGTCCTCCGAAGTTATCCTGAATCTGTCGAGGCCATTGAAGGTAGGAAAGTCTGATAACCGCTGAAATAATCGTACTTGGTTTGTAAGATTGCTAATGTAATCCTTGTACATTAATAAAAAACAAAATTAAGCTAGTAGGAGAATAGCAAAGTACGATTATTTCAGCGGTATGTTATCAGACTTCCCTACCTTCAATGGCCTCGACTGACTCAGGATAACTTCGGAGGACATGGATTCCTATTCGAAAGTTGTTCTCTCTGAGTCCCTCTATACGCTCCTTCAGTTTGGCCCTAATCTTTTGAATCACTCTGTATTTACGAATGTATTACCATTTCGCCATCGATAATTGAAGTAAAAAGTAGCAAAGATTCCCTTGTGCCAAAGTAACACGCAATACAAAGAGTGCTTGAAGATAAAGTTCCAGGCTTTATTATCTTTGAGATTAGATGGATCTTAGTTGGAAATTTTACGCTTGTTAACAATTCTGAAGTTTTTAATGTGAATAATATTAACCTATATTATAGTTATAAATTACATATTTTATGACAAATGGACCTGTCTACGTAAAAGTAAACATATGTAATATATATGAAATACTATAAAACACAATAGATTTGCTAAAAACGACATTAATTTGAACCATTGTACAAAACTGAAACGTAATTTGTTCCATTTTTATTTATTGTTATATGACGAAAGGTTTGCACAGTACATTCATTTTACGATAAAGCTTGGCTTGATGATAACAGTTTCTTGTCGGAACGTGTGCCAATAAAATTAAAAATATAATTAATGTCCACTGCTAACTCGTATTGTAGATGGTTGAAATAATTGGGCCTAATACAATATTCCCAAAATAGATTTTATTGTCTTTGATAACTTGGTTAACATATTTAAAAAGAGGTTAACCGTGATTAACAGATGACAGAACAGATGTTCCAAAATACTGTGAATCCGCTGATAAATTGGAACGCAACTTTCACTTCCAGGCTCCCGGGAGAAACTGCATGGCTCATCGCCAAGCGCTAAGAGATTTTCCCCGATACATGTCAAACAAATATCGCTTCATAAAAGTAACAAAACCAACTTCACGTTTTTACAAGAGACGCTGAAAGTTACGTTCTTGTGTATGTGCACACAATCAGTACCATTTAAATAAGGTGAAATTCACCACTTTGGCCGCTAGCGATTTCGAGATTTCGGTCCCCTGTTCGAGTATTTTGATTATTAGGGCTGCTGTGGTGTGTCTTCCAACGCAGAAATTATTTCGTCTCATTTTTCCTCGTTAAGTACACTGCGTTCCTAGAAGGTTTCTTGTCCAGAAGTGATTCAGTAGACCAGAATTTATTAATAAGTTTTTGGACGCATGTTGTGCTTGGAAATGTGGTCCTAGGAACTTAACAACCAAATTATCTCTTACACTTCCTGGCAACAACAATTTCTCATAAGATTCGTACGGAAAAATACGCAGTTAAACAGAAAATCGAACCATTTCCACAAATAACAGTGACAATTACTTCACGTGATGTTAGACACAGCTGCAGTGGTGTGCGAATAATTATAGCGACAGTTTGTGTTGGCTCTTGGCCGTGAGTCGTGCACTTCCTGTTGGAAGCCGGGAAGTGACAGTTGCGTTCCGATTTATCTTAGAACTTGCTGTGTAATCGTGTTATGTTCGGCCCCTGCATCTTACATTTGACTGCAAATTGAAACACGTACAGTAAATATGATTGGTCAATAAAATCCCGTCCGAATGCATTTGCAACTTTCTAGTACAGGTCATTGCCGAATTATTTGGCTTCAGAAAGTGACGAGAGCAATTAGGATATTCTGACGGTGGGCTGAAAATCGAAACCACAATCTTCCAGAATAGCTTTCCGAGGATAAACACGTACATTATTTATAAAAATCAAATACGTAAACTCACAAAATAAATTACTACATACTGATTAAATGTTTCAAATGAATTGTAATGCTATATATAGGCACTGTACCAGGTAGAAGACTCCGATGGCGATTGAACCTCCCCGTAGGCCGCCACAGCAAAAACAACACTTGCGAATCCGTAGGAAATGTCCCATATTGCAGGGATGTGCTTACTGCTGCACTTAGGTTAGGGGACTGGACAGATGATGTCGGAAGGATTGTGTGATATATCAGAGTGAACGTTGAGAGATAACACTGGATAAAGATATCAGAAATGAAACGTAGACTACTAAAGTTTTGTATTTATTGGCCAAAACGATTATGCTATCTTACTACTAAAATACGTATGAACTGGTGAGAGCATGCTCACTATAACTGTATATTACACAGATCTAAATAAAGAACTCTAGTGTAGACTGTCTTTCGTTTCAAGGCTAATTGTGAGAGAAGGTGATATATGTACCAATGTTTCCGCCTACATAAATAAACGTTTTGCTACGAGTCGTTTAGTTTGCTAGGAATCAAACTGTTTGTTGAATTAAATAAAAGAAGTTAACGCTTATAATACTTACAGCGAAAAGCCCTCATAATTTTATTTCCGTTGAATAAATCGGATTCTTATAAATCTACAACGAAAATTGCCCCAAGAAATTCTACAAAATAAATAAATTTGTCCATAACCTAAAAATTCTGGCACGTTCGACAGACTTGACCTTCAATCTTTGTCGTTGGTTGAGAATTCCCTGACTTCGGATTCCTCAACCTGACATTCTGAAACGCAGAATTGTTTGGAGGTCCTGAAGGAGCAATGCGCCCTTTGATATCAGATTTTGAACAAATTAGAATGTGTCGACAAATTTAGGTAAAATTCATTGTTAAATATCAGGAATAACCGTTGATTCATTCTCTTGTTTCTAGATGCGCAGACGGAGAGTTAAACAGAGCGATTTTAACAAGCGGATTTAAGGAATAGAACACGCCTAAAAATAAGATAATTTAGAATCAGAATGAGAAATGCGTAATTGGAGCGGTGTGGAAATTTCAGGCTGCATTCTACGTGGCAGTATCTTTACCAAAACTCTATTCACTCGGTGTGTCTTCATTTAAGAAACAAAAAATTGTATTATTTACGTATAAACAGTTTCAAATACGACAGTGGTGTCCGAATTTTTTACGATATTTCCGAAAAATTTAATGTCGTTTGAATTTTAAGTTTAGATTAAGATTTTTCCCGGGAATGTTGTGACTAAATTCTGGATAAAAAAATATTATGTTGTGAATATACGTAGAGATAGAGCATTTCAGCTGAATTTATCATTTGGATTTTTCCATTTCTCATGAATCTTCGTTAAATTATCATATCAGTCGTTATAACGTCACGACCCGCCTTTATAAAATAGCAAATCACTCAGTCATTTAATCAGTGAAGCAGTCATAGATTTAAGCACGTCGAAAAGATAAGAACGGAGAGTGGGCTGCATATTTTACGAGGAATATTCAAAAAGTTATCTACTCACAAGTATCAAAGTGACAGTCGAAACGCTGTGACGTGTAGCACAATGTCTCAGAACAGGCGACTTGTTTCGCGGGTCTGCCGCTATCTTCATCAGGTTCTGCATGCTTCTTCACATGGGAACCTTGATAGAGGCAGAAAAATTCCGATATCAACTTAATATAATAATTTGTAACGTTAGACTTAGAGGATCTTGTTTCAAGGCTACCATTAACGGTATTCTGTTTCTGCATTCAAACGATAGATCTGTATATATAAAGCGTGTTCCGTTAGTCCACCTTTTTGTGGTCTGCCAGTATATCTCTTCTCCTACACGGAGCAGAGGATTTATGGAAAAACTTTAGTCACTCAAGTCAGTCAAGAAATTCCACACCCTAAGGTTTATTATCGTATGGAATAGATTAATCTGTCTGAACGGTTGGAACCGGTAGTGGTCTCTTGCTTAAACCCTCCGACCACATTTCGCAAAGATAAATTTGAATAATATATTTCCATCTACTCCTAGGTCATTCGAGTTATTTTCCAGCCAACGTTTTATACGCTTTTCTAGTCCCTTCGCGGTTGCCAAAATGCTTCGTCCATCTTATCTCTCCTGATTTGATCATCTTCGTGGACAGTAATCAAAATTCATTTCGACAATTTGTTATCCGTCATTCTAATTAGATGTTCCACCTCTTTTGTTTGTGTATTTTGTAAGCTACTGCAAATATGTCATCTTTAATATCGCCAGGCCTTTTCCACAAACTCGTAGCCTATATCCTTTCAAAATTAACTCTGTGGAGAAAAATCTTTTTTCAGACACTAAAGGAAGTTACGTGTCTAATATGAAAATTGCATCTTCATTACCGTATTTACAAAGGCCCATTACTGGTCCCTGTCCTGAGTCAGATTAATCATCTCCAGATTGTCAGACCGCATTTATTTAAATAACATTTCGATCTTATCCATCCCAGCTAAGGTTTCTAAAATTCTCTTTTCATTTTTATCTGTTCTCACCAACCTGACTGAGATAGTTTAACTTTTATCCAACAGATGGCAGAAGCAGCGCTGCATGATAATTGGGTCATGAATAATGATATACAAATAATAAAGTGAATAATTTACTATTATGCATTTCTCAGTTGTAATTATCATTGTTGTATCAGGTTTCTTGAATATTTTGTTTTGTCAAAATAATAAAATTATAAAAATGCAGACAAATTTATAATCTCTACTTACGTTATTTAATTATTGAAAAGAGAAATGTATAAATGAGGTCTGATGTTTTCAGGATAACAATTTTGAAGATTGCTGCTTTCTGGGATTTCATTGTGTACTCTAGAAAATATTCACCAATGTTTGTGAGGAATTTAATGCCTCCATAATCAGAAAGATCTCCTCTGAAACGTCGGTCAGTATTTTCCAGTAATACTGTAAAGAATTACAGATGGGGAATGATTTTAAATTTTAAAACATGTTATGTGTATGGGAAGTTCCAGAGCATTAGAATATATAAACATGAATCCAGTGTTTATAGCAAGAAAATTATAAGTTTGATGGAAGCAAAAAAGGGAAACTGGAAGCTGAAGAACTTCTACACTGAAGTATTGTCATCAAACAATATTACTATACCAGAACTTCATTATGCAGTTTATCAATCCATATTGGTAGTATTTTTACCTTCATGCTGAGACAAAGATGTCTTTACCTGTAAACATATTATTTTGGAACTAATTGCCATGTATGTGTACAAAATGACTCAGAATTAGGAGTTGCAACAGTTCAAGCTTACACTTAAACAAGTCTTCTGTCAAAACCAAATCATTTTGCAATTTATTCTTTGGGGGTGGGGGGCGACAAGCTACCGACGTCTCCGCTATTTCCCAGCAGGGGCCCTGCTTTATAAGCCATGTTCATAGATGGCAGTGAAGTCAGATGTGACGTCACAAACGTTATACCGGCAGGGCGGTAAAGTGGTGGTGTGCATAAAGTGAATTATGTTTGTTTGGCATTGTGCTTGCTTTAAGAAAGCGACTGTTTCGTTAATAGAAATGATGAACGTTGATAATGATATATTTGTTCTGGGACTTACCAGCCCATATAGTAAACGTGCCAGCCCAGTTTATTACGAACTTTAGATTATGCCCTATACATCACGTGTACTGAATTTCGCATATTTACATCAAAGTGAAGAATTGAATGTTGTGACATAATGGCCAATGAGTCTGACATATCAAAACCATTACGGTTATCAAACTATTTTCGATGTTTTTGTGATGAGCTCGCACTTCCCATCTGCGAGGGAAAAGACATGGACCTGTGGACGCGTTTGGAGACCACAGCCAGTCACCTCCGAAAGTAAGCGTTCGTTATAAATTTAGACACAAGTTCCAAATATACGTATGCTATTGATTAAATACAGGCTGATTAAGAAGAACTGCATGTGTGGTTAAATACCGTCTTGTAGGTTATGTAACTGTGTTGTGTATTTGTCAGTATTTTCTAGATGCCTTTTTATGGCCCTTCTGCACACTGTCATGATTGCTACTGAACATCGTAGCCAAGTGGTTAGTACTGCTGCGGCGTATATATATGAGGGCTGGGGTTGAAGTTTTGGTCCAGAACCTATTTGCCCTGACAGGTTTTACATGGTTGTGGTTATCCTCAGATCCTTTATGTAAATGATTGGATAACGCTTTAAATTAGGCTATAACCACTATCATCCCATTTCATTTTAGTTCATTAATCAATCTTCTTATACTGTATAGTCTGCGTGGCCAATAACATCATTATGTCATAAAAACATTAACAATTGCCACTTTATATCTGCTATCATGACAGAGTTTCATGTTAGCCTACAATAACTCTATTTGAATGTTGTATTGTATTGCCATTTTACCAAACATCCATCTAGCTATACTGTTTTTGACTCATCTGAGAATTGTTTTGTTCATGTCCCACCTGGTAATTGGCTGTATTTACATTTCTATATGAGTTTTCTCAGTCTGTACAAGTAAAGTAGTAAGATAGTCATGCTAGACAGTCATTCTCTTTGTCAATAATTTTACTATATCTTATTAAAATCTCCACAGCCATGAAATGTTGGATTGGCTGCACTTGTTGGAAAGAATGTCCACTCTTCTGTCTTTGTTTGTGCTTGCAGAAGTACTCACTGTATGATGTATAAATATTCTTAGTAAGTAATGTAATTATTTCTCTAAGTATGAAAAATTGCTGTTATTTTGGTCTCTTGTTGCCACAGCATGGCACATACTCAGGTTGCAGAGGGAGTAGAACATCTTCAGGTATGGAAGGTAGCTGTGAATATTTCAAATCACCGATAAGTAACAAGGGTAGTCGTCTAGCTTGATGTTTGGCCAGGGGCTAACCTCGTCGCACAGTAAAAGAATCAGCATGTTATGAAATGTTATACAAGGCCTTGGACTTGGATGGATTCTTTAGAATGCCTAAGCAACAGAATATTGACATGAGACTTTGAACTTGGAATGTCAAAGAGTTTCTGTAGGTCAAGTTCTTTGAAAACAATTTGAAGAGAAGTGGCTAAATGTAAGTTAAACTTAGTGGAAGTACAGATCAGATTGGACAAAGATGGCACTGAATAAGAAGTTGGAAGTATGATACTGATTAGTTTTTCAGGTTGCAGAAATTAGGAAGAGACTGTTAGTAAGTAAACAAGCAAAGCAAAAGTTTGAAACTTAGATTTATGGGTTTGAAAAACTTGAATTGTAGTGTGAACATCAGTAGGATTTGGGAAAGCATTGCAGAGAAAAAACAATTTCAGCCTAAAAGAGTCTGTCATGAGTTAAATAAGTATAAACTATGGTTTGATGAAGAATGTTAAGAACTGTTATAAAGTGGAAGCAGGCAATATTTCAGTGATTGTAAATTCAAGCCAAATGCATGTTGATAATAGAAATAATGCAAGGTGTGGAACTGGTAGAACTTAGATGATTGAGACCGTGACTAGTGCCACCTGATACACTTCTAATGCTTTGTTTGCATACAAATTTTCAATGATAATAGTATGCGTGACCACAATGATAAAAACGACGATATAAACCTGAAGATGATGTCATAAAACATCGAAACATGTCGTGCAATTAATAATAAGCGCCATAATAAATGTAACACCATACTACGATAAAAGTGCCATAATATAACATAATATAACTTATTGTAATATTTTATACTACAGATGTTATAGTGTTATATAAATTTTAACAACAACATTTTAAATACGTTTGTGTATAGACTGTGATAATAAATATATATTTGGTTTCAACACAAACATGACGCACTTAAGCTACAAAAAAAATAATTAAAATATGGACACTGGAGTAAATTTTCATGTACAGATTTTACATGTCTTGTGTATAAGACTGTAGAACATATGCAGTCTTTGTATTTGCACCATATAATAATCTTACATTGTTTAGGGACTGTTCATGGAAAAAAATCCAAGCATTGTTAGAAGATGAAGCAACATCCAAAGTGGCTGTCAAGGGACTACTTAAGAAACTGTTTGCTGTATCTCAAGAGCTGTCTGGTACATTCTTTATATATTAAATTCCTGATTGAATGTGGTAGCTGTGTCCGTTATAGTTTCTCGTCACCATGTCATTGTACAGTATCTACCATGTCCTGTTTGTTTGAGATGGCCACATTTCAGGTGACAGCCAATCAGGTCATAGTAAAAGTAGCCTTAGCTTGGCAGTAACCTATTGCAGTGAGTATAACCTTTCAAAATGTAATAAAAACTCATCACTGCTACAGCATATGCTGAAAATGTTGTCCTTCTGACCAAATTCCCTCAGTGTACCTGCAGAACGTATTAACTCTCTGGAGTTCTTCCTCGGGAAATTGCTGAAATCTTGCAACAGCTATTGTTTCTTAGTTTGTCTGGAGTGGGGGATTTGTTTATTCACCATATCTTATAAACTTTCCCACAAATAAAAGTCACAGGGTCAGCGAATATGTGAGCCACGGGTCAGAAGTATACTTTTAGTTGGTGGTGGATAGACATGGCAAGTCAGTGCCAGGCCACCTACCACTTCGCTCTCTCAGACAAACAGGACATGGTACTGTCCACAGACCAGGGGAAAAGCCCTGCGGGGGGAAGTCGTTTCTGGGGCGGTGCGGTGGGAATGTTTACTGCCTTGTGGACTAGGGGGCTGCTATTGGTGGGAAGTGTGATATGTCAGAGTTTAAGGCTACTACACATAGACTGAAAACATCAAGCAGTTAAGAGTAGCATGTAGTGAGTGCACCTCTAATGTATTCTGCGGGTATTGCGATAATATTCTAGATTAAATCACTGAGCCACTGTGAGATAATCTTAAAGCTGTACTCATAAGAAGACGTGAAAGCCTTGTGTCTGTTGCTTTTTCAGTGGTTGTGGAACGAATGCTTTTAGGATGAGTCGTCACTCACAGTGAAATGTTGTGCGTGCGCGTGTATCGAATTCCTAGCAGGGCTTTTCTCCTGGTCTGTGGAGTGAAGACCCTGCACATCCAGGTAGACTATAAAGGTTAGCTGCTATCCCAGCCAAAATGTGGTGGTCATCCAGCTTGAGGGTTGAGTATCTGGCTGGTGTTAAACTTAGTATTAACTTCTTGTTATAGTGTTGAGCATGTTTTGCAGATAGGGACAACATGAAATTCATATAAAGTTTAGTCTGGAAATGTAATAGAAAAACCAGTGCGTAAGTGGTATGGGGTAGGTGAATCTAGTTCAGTGGTACAGCAAATTTGTTGTGAGAATCCATACTTATGGTCTTAGATTTGGTGTGATTTTTTTTTTTTTTTTTAATATTTAAGGTTTGCAGAAATTTTTGTGTGTAGTGTAGTTTACTGATTTGTAATCTATGTCATTGTCTGTCATTTTGTTAGCAGAACAGTCACATCTTCCTCATTTATAATTACAGGAAATAAACTAATAATGGATTGGTGTGTGTGACTTTTTGTAGAAATGACAGAAATTCCTGTGGAGGAAGTAGCAATACTTCTGCTGCGTTTATTCATCCAACAACCTGTGACTTCCCTACTGTTGAAACAAATTATGAAGCATGTATTTGGAACCTTTTCAACATCTGTCATCATATACAGAATCCACCAGGTGAAAAAACTTAAATGAGACAGTGTTAGTGAGGAGGGTATTGTGTAGAATCTTTGGAGGTGTTTACGGAACAGTTGATCAGTTTAAACAGTGTGTTCTTTTGGACTTGCTTTTAAAAATACTGCACTTATTACCAGGTAATGGTTTTAAGATATAATAAAATTTGAGAGTCACAAACATGAATCTAAAGTTACAGAGTTTACTTAAGTCAAAGTGATCTGTATAAACCTTGGAAAGTGTGTTGAGTCTTGATTCAAGTTGTTTCTGTTGTTTTTCTGAATACATGGAAGGTACAGAACATGAAGTTTTTATGCATTCTTTGCAAAATTTTTGTAAAATGAACACATCTTTTCCGCTGCCCATTCGGCTAGAGCGAAAGTAGAAATTCACGTTTTAATTTGGAACACATCTCCGTTTTGACCTGTATGGTAGGATGATAGTGAAGATGATGACCAACAAAGGAAATGTATAGCACAATCTCAGATTCTAAGATGATCACAGACGAAGATTTCTGTCTTCTGGGTTGTTGCGCTGTGTAGTCTGGTCGATGTTTACCAACGCCCTGATGACGGAGGCAGTATGACCTCTGAAACGTTGGTAAACATCGACCAGACTACACAGCGCAACAACCCAGAAGACAGAAATCTTCATACTGACCGCTGTGAAAACCTCAAATCTTACATGGATTACAATAGTATAACAATCGTTAGAGCACCTTTCCTCACTACTGCTTTGGTTACAGATTGTTCAAGACATTGCAACAGTTCTGCCACAGTATACTCTTGAGGTTCTTCAAGAAAAACAGAAGAGGCTGGGTTACAGGCAGGAATTATTTGGAAGTCACATTAAATTTGTTCCACTGAATAGGAATAAAATTATATATCCAGATGTGTCGAAACTAAATGATATTACTTTAATGGATGAAAATGTTCAAAATGAAGGTCTGTTAGCTGAAGACTTGGAAGATAATGCTGTTAATCAAATACACGAATCTGAGCAACAGAAGTTTTCAGGTAAAAGTAAAGCATTTGTTATGAAACAATTTGATGCACGTGATTCGTGTGGTTCCTACTCCAGGTGCTGATGGCTCACATTCAGATTATGGTGCTCTGAGTGCCTTTACTTGTCTGAACTGGTTGCAACTGCAGTTTAGTATAGTTTGTTCTCATTGCAGTGGCACCCAGATTGATGTTCAGGTTATTTCTTCATGAAAACCATTTTTACATCAATGCTTTTTAAGTCTGGAAATCATGGGGGTGAAAGTTGATGATGCTTGTGACCAAAACTACCATAACATGCTAAATTAGAAACTTCAAAGGATGTTGCAGTTTTAGATCTTTTATAAATGGTAATAATAGTGAATTTAGCAATTACAGTGACATTAAAGGCAACAGTACATTTTAAATTTTGGCTTCCAGATTGAAAGGTTTAAGTCTTTTAGGAAAGGAGCAATCATCAAAAAGAACTTAAAATTTTTCTTCAGGAAGTCAGTTTAATATATTGTAATAATTCAACCCTATCATATTCTTGCTTCATACTGTTGTGAACAGCCTGTTTCTCATCCCCATATCATATGTTTGACCTGTGACCTCTGGCTTGCCGAACATAAAGATGTAACATCTGCCTTGACCTGCTACTGTTAATATGTGAAACTCCTCTGTGTCTCTATCCAGACTACAGCTGTCTGTTCAGACAGGCCACTTGTTCACTTTTCGTCTGGTTTTTCTTTCATTTATAAAGACCACATGCTCTACTAGTTATGTTGCTGCAACAGCATTTATATGAAGATTTCTGTCTTCTGGGTTGTTGCGCTGTGTAGTCTGGTCGATGTTAACCAACGTTTCAGAGGTCATACTGCCTCTGTCATCAGGGCGATGAATTTATATGTCCAACTCTGTGCTATATACTGAACTTTTGTGTTTATTTGACTGTAACCTGAAGCCATGTTATTTCTCCTGTCTTCCTCAGTGCATTGTTCTATCAGTACGCAATAGACTTGGTTGTTGAGATTCTAAGCCAAGTTTTCCTCATCCATAATGCAGGGAAGTATGTATATAGTCTTTCATATGGATGCAGTCTCCTAGTACAGACCTATTGGTGTTACCCTATGATTTTTCAGTCCTTATCAACCCCATTTTATATTATTATGGCTAGAAATTCCCCACTTAACAGGGATTCACTTCAAGTGGCAATTTTCCAGTCCCGTTTAACCATGGATAATGAATGACCTGGACATAAATCTGGTTGCTGCTAGTGAAATTTGCCAACAAATATTATAATATTTATTTTTTCTAATGAAATTCTGAACAAGAAATATGTTCAGTACTGTATGTTAATGTGATTGGGCACATGCAAAGACTGGTCACAATGATACATTTTGAAGATTTACAAAAAATTAACTATGCGCATTATATCACAGTTGCAGTCTTAAGACAGCGTGTTTAACATACACATGACGTGCAATAAACTAATGTGAGAGACATGCCTAAATTTTATTTAATTAATCTATTAATGTGGTATGTCTCATATAGCTTTCACTGGTTATGAAGTAACCCTTTATGATACCACATCACATTAATCTGTTGGAGGAGAAGTGTATTCCTAAACATTTCTTTTTCTTCTTTGGCTCTCCGGTCTGTATTCGGTCCATGGCCTCCACAATTCTCCTCTTCCATTCGGTCCTCTGTTAGGTCCATCTGTCCGAGGCTTTGATTGAGGTTTCGAAACATCTTCCTTTTTACGGTGCAAGGTTGTTAGCCTTGCAACCAATCCCCAACCTGGAGGACCAGGGTACCTGTCTTAGTCTGACCTCTCCCTCTCAACCAATCTCGCTAAGGAGGCCCTACCAGTAGCTATGCTACCGCCAGCATAGCTCTTGGGGTCACTGAGGTACTCAAGCCCCACGACCACGACAAGGTGCAGGTACCATTAAGATTCCTAAACATTTAGTAATTTTATTGAGGTCAGGAAGTATTCTTTAAACATTTTCCTACCTGTTTGCGTGCAAATTGTAGGTACTTAGTCTGGCATTACTCTTATTAGTACATACATAATGTCAGTGGGTGGTGTTGATTAACGTTCTGTAGGAGAAGAGCTTGATGTCCTGCCTTAAGAATTAAAATCTACCAGATTTATGTACGTATATTAGTTTGAAAAGTTCTCTTCAAGATGTTGAGTTATTTGTGCTGTTAGATTCCAGGTCTTCAGTATATCAAGTGCACTGTCAGCATTTTGAAACTGCATTCTGTGAAGAGGTGAAATTATATACTTCCTTAAAGACAACAAAAGGCTTGGGTTTAATCATGCCTCTGTCAGAGTCAGATGAGGTGAGTTGCATCTGCGGTGCCAGTTGCAGGAATTTGGAATGCTCTGTTAGTAAGCTATAAAAAGAAACAAGTTAATGAGAGAAGTCAGAGAAGTACATACTGTAAAATATTCTGAATTTCCTTTACGAAATATCATTAACTTAAGATAATAGTTTCATTGCAAATGTTTCTCATATTTTGATTGGTCTCTGTCGCATGCTTGTTCTTAATATTGTTAGGTTTCCTTATGTTTATGATGTTCATATGGATAATTTTATGATTTTTACATACTGGTGTTCATTTTTCTTATATTTTTTTCTCTTTCTGCCTCTTTCTTATTGTCTAAACAATTGTTATCCCTCTGTTGTGATAATTGTTCCTATTCTTGAATCTTTGCTTACATACGAGTATAAGTATTGTGTCTATTGCTGCTTTTGAAATTGCTGATATAATGTGTAATAAATGTCTTCTTCTTTTTCTTCTAGCATCATTCCCATTTTATAGGAGTTGATGCAAAAAAAACTCTTCGGTCACTCCTGTTTTCTTATAATTTCCCTTTTTAAATTTATTGTTAGCTGTTTCTTCTCTACTTGTAATCTTTATTACTATGCAGTGGTATCCCATGGTTCTTAATCCTTAAAATCATAATTGTAATGTTCTTCTCTTTATCCTTGTTCTATCTGTTCTATTTACATGGTCAAACACTCATCATTTCTTTTCTAATTCTACTAACAAATTTTGGATTTCAGCTTCTTCCCTTAAGATTAAATTTCTAATTCTGTCTCTTCTTGAGATTAGAGATTCTCGTGGCAGCAAAGATGTCGATTTTGGACTTCTGGGATGTAACTCTATGTGGACTTGTAGGTATATGACACCATTTCAGAAAAAAAGTACTTTTTCTGTCTTTATGACTGTTTTTCTTTCAGTACTTACAGTGGTCACAACATAACGCCAAGCTCATATGACTGATTACCGTTATTGAGGGTGGGGGCAGGGGGAGACTACAACGTGATAGCACATGTGCAGGGATAACCCACTCCTTCCTTGTACATTATCCAGTGTGAAATGATTACACTTAGGCTGTAGAAGTAGTCTGTGTGGGTTAAGGCATGTGCCTGCATCAGTAATGTTTTGTACTTTCTTTGGTTCACAAAATACATTAAAAGGGGAAAACATGTTTTTAGGTACATTATACATGTTTAGAGAGACTCTTTGCTATCTTGTTCCACCTTGCGCTTTCCATCCTCCCTGAAGGTCACAGTAATTTTGCATCCACTGTGAAGTTTTCTCTTTATTACTATTGTGTGTATATGTATATATGTATATTAAATCTTACAGTTACCATTTCCGTACCAAATTGTTTGTTTTTCTGTAAAGGTCAAATCTGTTGTTCTTTCCCAAAGAAATGCATGCTGCTTCCCACTGAGAGTTTCTTTTGTAATTCTTTGTATTTTATTACTTAAAATTCTTTACTAAATTTTATAACCACTAATGAAGTCAGACAATGGGTGAGGAGTGAGGATAGAGTTCAAGACAAAAGAGCAAGGGAGCCAGTGGGAGATTTGGGGGGGGGGGCCACAGCCTCATGTGGGAGTTCTTCATATTCACCCACTTATTCATGTACAGCTTACTTATTGCTCTGAAGATGTAGTAAGCACCTCTGAAACATAAATTTCTGTGGTGAAAGATCGCAGAAGACAGTCATTAAGGTTTGCTTTTTAATTTATGTGATATTCAAATTCCATTCTCTGAAGTTATTTTACTACTAGCTTTCGTTGATGTATGTTTATTTTTTATCATCACAAAAACATTATTTTCCCTTGAGATGATTTTCATCAAAATCTGTAGATCTTCATTCCGGTATTGTTTTTGTGCTTATTTTATCAGCTTTTTTCTTTATTGTCTTAAAATTTTCCACCTGTTTCAAAGTTTATTACTTCTATTTTTGCCATTCTTTGTTCTTCTGGCTGTTATTTTTAGTCTATCACTCCAAATGTAGTTTTCAGTATATATGTCTATTTTTGGATTTTGTTACAGGCTGGACAGAGTGCATTTGATAGAAAAGAGCGCAATAGCATTGATTCTGCGCTTTTTGAGTCAGTATTTGATTCAGATAAAAATCTTATGATCACTCTTCCACTTGGTTTTGACAAAACAAATATAATTTTGTTGGCAGTGTTCAATCTTCTGTCTGCCACATCAAGTAATTTCAGCACTCATGGACATCAGTTGAAGGTAACTGTAATGTTACAATTTACATGAACAGTTTGAGGAAGAAAATATGTCATATTTCGGAATATCGCTTGTAAAAGATTGATTGTAAAGTCCCTGTACATCTATTGCTTTAAGTCTGTGAACTAACTTTCAGGGCTTCTTAAGTGTATGTTGAAATATTCTGTACCGTCTGCTTTGCAGGCCTGACAGATGTCAGATCAGCACCACAATAGAACCAGCTCAACATTATTTTACAGAACTTCACCTCATTGCTAAAAATTCATCCATAAACTTGCATTTCACATCTTCTGAAAATATTGGCGGTGATTTAAAAGTTTTTACAAAGATGTAGGTGTTTCATCTTTAGCTACGAGGTGTGTGGGGACTTCATGATTATCTGTACAAACTTCAGTTTTTCTTGGGTAATATCAGATATGCATTTTTGTTTTCATAAATAGTGCATGTGGTACTTTATATGTGAAAATAACAATTTTTTTGTTTTATTTGCTTTCTTAAATGTATCATTTGTTTTAGTAAATACTAGTGAAAGAACCCATTTCGTATCTGAACTTTTCTTAAAATAATGGAATTATGTATTTATTATGGTGACGTTGTGCATATGCAACAGACCCTCCTTATTCATGGGTTTATTCATTACAGTTTTGCTTGTTGTATTAATGTGTGTGTCGCAGCGTAGGTCCCTTGGTTTTTTTGCAGTCACTCCTGTGCAGGTGCGTGGAATAATACACAACATCCCTCATGTGCCTGCCTCCTAAATTTACTATGTAGATATGCCACACTGAAAGTACTTCATGTCAGATGTTGAGTATTAACCAATGTTTTGGAAAACATTTCATTTGCCATCTTCAAGGTTAATGTATAGTGGGGAATATTTTTGAAGGCGTATGTAGGGCAGTAGGTGGCGAGTTAAGATTTGATGGTTCTGATTGGTAGAACAGAGGAGCAGGCCACTATCGAGTGGAAGAGGAGGAGGATCTTGCAAACACTCAATCTTATGTTACTGTGACAAGGTATACTTTAGTCAAACTGACCATCACATCTCCACCAGATTTGGAGATCATGTAAGAGACACCAAACTGGAGAACTGGCAGTTAGTGGTAGCTGAACATCTGTTGCAGTGTTACCAGAGCCCCATCTGCTGTCATGTCTGGGTTTCTCCCCTACTTGACGTTGCTCTCCTCCTGCGATGGGGATGCTGGTTTTGGCCTTTGGGAGGGTTGCCACCTACTGTCTTCCCTATGTAAGGCTTCCAGAACTTGCCTCATTTATCTGAAGATGGCAGCTGCAGTGTTTGCTGAAATGTGGGTTAATACTCAACATTTGACGTGGCTCACACACGAAAGCCGAATTTATACAAATTTTCATTTTCTGCCATGGCAGCTTCCAATGCAAGGTGATAGTGTCACAGACAACTTTTCTTTATATAATATTCATACAGTGTACTTTAATGTTGTACAGTAATTTTGATCCTGAAATGTTTTTATTGTCTATAATTAAAAAAATTGTTGTTATCTAGTGGAGAATAATGAGATATGACACTGAATGATATCGGCTCTGTGGTAATGGGCCAGAGTCAACTATTCAAACTCATGTATGAAGTGCACTCTGGCTCATTTTGCATTTCCTGCATGCAAATGCTGGAATAGTGCCTTAAAATCATCCACGTACCTCTGCCTTCTGAATCCTTACTGACTTAACATTTATGATTAGTGTTGTGTGGTTGGCTGGGCATGTAGCAGTGTTGGGGGATGCAAGTAATGCTTACGGAATTTTGGTGGTTAACATGTGGAATATTCCCACTTGGAAGACCAGTAAGGATATATAAGGATAATATTAAGATGGATTTTATACTTCTAGAAATAGATTGCAATGATGGGAGGTGGATGAAAGTGGTTCAAGATGATGTTCAGTGGTGGGATTTGATGTTAGCTGTGTTGAATCTTCAGTTTCAGTTACCACAGTGTTATTTTTCTACGTTTATTGTCTGTCTGTTTAGTGTATTCCATCACTGAAGATGAGTGATAGCTGTTTATTAATTTCTGAATCAGAATTTTTCTCATGATGCTCTCCTTCTTGTGATCAGTTCAAAATAGCCCTATCCAGCCTCTGTGTAAAATGTAATTACTCACCTTATTATAAAAAATTATTTGTGTATGTATGATTGGGAATTTTACAGGTACTTTATCTTGTGGGATCAAAAGAAGCAGCTGAGCAGGCATCACAGAAATTGGCTAACAGGCTTGAGTCACATAAAATTGTTGTCAGCTGTTACACTGCCTCTACACATGTCACTAAGGCTAACTTTGAGTCTGCACAAATTCTAGTAACTACTGCCAGTGTATGGAGAGACATAGCTCATGTCTTAGGTAATTGTTTAAAATATCTTGTAAATGTAAATCTTGTTTGTTTCTTAACAGCTCTGAATTATCTCTTGAAATTAAATTAATATAACTGATTCCAATGGGTAGAGTCCTTAAAACTGATAGTGGCTCAGTTGGTCAAGAAATTCCATGCCAATGGAGACAAGCTCCTGATGCATAATTCTATCAGTTTTATAAGATACAGTGCCCTAAATATTTATTATATTGTTTGTTTCCTCTCTGAAACATCTTTTGCCATGTCATATGTTTCTCTAGCAGTTTTGTCTATTTTGAAACTTGATCCACACCTGCTGCTCTTTAAAGTCTATTTGTTAAGAATGAAAATTGCATGTATCACAACAGAAGTTTACTTTGTCATGTATAGCCTCTACTGAATGACACCTTCTAAAGTCCTGAAATTAATGGAAAGTAATTTAGCAGATTGTATTTTACCATCATATAGCACAGGAAGTCTGAACAGTTACAGTAATGTTACTGTGCAGCTGGTCTAGAAATGTTTGTATTGCACCTCGTAAAAGCATTGCATCTTTTAGGCTATCAGTGACATATATATTCAGATACAAAATACGTAAAGGAATCTCTTATCTCTATGTAAATACAGTTATAGATTTTGTAACAAACAATAATAAAATGCTATTCCTTCAGAGTATCGGATGATGATGGTTGGGTAAAGGTTTTTGTGCTTTTTTTAACATCCATTGACGTTTATACTGATATCTTTCCTCCTACAGGGAATGATCAGATGTTGGAAGTTGTGAGACTACTTATTATTGATGAAATGAATTGGTTACAAGAATCCTGTGGTCCAGCTCTGGAAACAATTGTTACCAGAACTACAGGACGGGTGGGCATTTTTTATGCATTTGTTCATAAAATATTTGTGTCTGAGAATGTTAAAGTATGATATAATGTAGGTAATATATTATAGAAGAAAATGACCAAAATTTAATTCACACCTGTGAATTTAATTGATGAGCAGAGACCGTATTGCTTGCATTAATTTTGTGTAGGATGTGAGGTTTTCACAGCAGTGAGTATGAAGTTGGTTCTCTTCTGGGTTGTACTTGCCTCCATCATCAAGGACCTCTGAAATGTCAGTAAACATTTACCAGACTATATGGTGCTGCAACTCAGAAGTTAGCCATCTAGGTAATTTTGTGTTGACTGTTCTATGTCTGGATTTTTTAATGTAAGTTGCATTGCTGTTGGTCTCATTTGATTATAATGGCAG